ATTGTTGAAAATATCTGAAGTTATTATATTATCTATTAGAGTTGCTGAATTTGTCGTTACTCTTGTAGGTTTGTTTATTAAAGATACTGAACCCGTTTCAAAAATTTCATCATAAAAATTTTTAACTTTAAGGTTATCATTATAAAGAAAACAATTCATGTTTAATTCTCCAATTATAAAATTTTGTTTTTTTTCAACGGTACCTTTTTTAATAATTTGTTGTAAAAACATGCTAAAGTTTTCGCTTACGCCATCAGGTGGCCGATAACAACAGCTTAGAAAAAATTTTTTTGTTGTTGCAGTTAGTAATTTCTATAGTTGCAATTTCTTTATCGCAGTCAGTCAATTCTTATTTCAATAAAATAATGTTTTGCGTGAGAAAACCATATGCAAAGATTCTGACGGCGATAAAGACTTTGCAACTAACTTTTTCTGTACTACCCCAGTCAATATTAACATAACTTAGATATCAGTATATAAATGAATAATAAAGTTTGAGTTTTTTTTTTTTTTAATTTATTTATTTTTTTGATTAAAATTTTCTTACTAAGGTAGGTTAGTGCTTCATATAAATCTCTAATGTTATTTGAAATTTAGCACTTATGTAGTCGATATAATGATTTCAAGTGATATTTTCATCAAGATAAACACCTAAAAATTTTGTTACGGAATCACTTTTTATTTCAATTTGATCGATAAAAATTTGAGGTAAATTTAAAGGCAAAAACCCCCTTTTGGAAAATGAATAAATTCCACTTTGCTTTAACTTATAAATCATTTTAAAATTTAATTTTTTATTCCATAGTGTTTAAGTTTATAGAATAAAATTTGGTGATCGACCGCATCAAAAAATTTTAGATAGCTCAATAAAAAGTTCTAACGTATATAGTGATTTTTTAAATGATTTTAAGATTTCACGTACAAATTGGATGATTGCATGTTCAGTTGATCTTTCCTTTTTAAAACCGAATTGATTAAGTAATTTATTATCATAAAAATATTTGTGTACTATGTTATATATAATTCTATCTAAAATTTTTGAAAATGTGGAAAAAACAGAAATAGGTTGATAATTATCAATAATTGATTTGTCCCCGTCTTTAAAAATAGGAGTAGTTTTGGCAATTTTTAACCAATCGGGGATTACACCTTGATTGACAAAAGCTTTAAAAACTTTAAAAAGAACAACTTTTAGTTGTTCGAAACAATCTATAATAACGTTTCCATTTATTTGAAATGCTCCAATTGCTTTATTTTTTTTAATGATTTGAAGGCTTTTTCAAACTCTTCAAAAAATAATTCAGAAGACAACTCAATTGAACCAATCCAACTATACTTGAATACTAGAAAGTCAGTAAATGAAGATCTGGTCTTAAGGATTTTTTTGGACAGTGGTCCAAACCTATATCATTAAAAAATTTGTTACATTTTTGAGTATCGTATACAGAAAAAAAGGTTTTGAAAAAAGACTCATCGATATTATTAGCATTATCTTATCTAATTAAAATTTATGAATATTGAACCCGTTTCAAAAATTGCATCATAAAAAATTTTAACTTCAAGGTTGTCATTAAAAGGAAAACAATTTATGATTAAATCTCCAATAATGAAGTTTTGCTTTTTTTTGACGGTACCTTTTTTAATAATTTGTTGTAAAAACATGCTCAGGTTTTCACTCACGCCTTTCACTCTTGTTACAGAGCACCGCGGAAGACCATTTGAAAGGAAGTTTACGCCTCCTTTCTTATTGATACTGTAAAACTTGTCTAGAGCTTGAACGAGCTAGCGTTGAACCACAAATCACTCGCTTCTGAGGCAAGCACGTTAACTACTGGGCTACGCCTGCTCAAATTTAATTTGATCTTAATTTGAATATTACCTTAACTCGAAGTTGACCATAGTTTGAAATTGACCTTAATTTGAACATTACCTTAATTTTAAAATTTAAAATATTAATGGTCAAGGATATGATGGTTCAACATCAATGGCAGCTTTAAAGGTAGCAGCTTTTTAGGTGTACAAACCCAATTTTCGAACATCCACCCAAAACGACCTATTGCGGGTGTCAAAACAATCATTTCAAAAAAAATTCATAAATGCTGAACAAATATAAGTCAAATCTTGTCAAAAAATTAAATACAAAACCATCAACACCATGATTACATAATGGGCCATTAAAATCATCAAAAAATTAACCTTTTAAAAGCTTTAAAGAGTATTTCAAAATGGTCCCTCATCATCATCCCTCATCATTTCAATCATTACAATCATCCCTCATCATTTCAATTATAGCCTATCTGTTATGTATTAATTAAACTAAAAAATAAATTTTAGTAGAATTATAGTTTAGTTTTGTACCTTCAATAATGCCAGAAAACTTTTGGTAGCACTATTTAAAATGACACAAAAAGCTACCATAAATTGTGAAATTGATCTCCCTAACTTAATGAAGAAATGATATGTGGCAAAAAATTGTGGCTACAATGTCAACTAGATAATCAACCACTAAGTGCTGCAAGTGCTTTTAAAGAATGTACACCAGAAAAATTTTAGAAAATTTAAATTGTTTTATCACTTGATTGTGTTCCTCTTGTTACTGCAGCAGAATGTAAAATGTATTCTACCATAAAAAAGAGCAACACATGGGCAGGAACAACTTTCAGAGTTGACTATAATGCTCTTCATTATAATTAAAACTTTAACAATAATACTTTTGTTACCAATTTTATATAGATGCAACAACAAATCAAGAAATTGTCAACTTTCTTCAAGACATTTAACTTTTATTGTGATTATCAACTTATTACTGAGACTTTTTATTTATACACAACGGTCCATCATTATTCGAATGGTCATACTTTTCGATTTGAGATATCAGAGTTTTATTACTGTTTAGAGAAGAATTAAAAACAAAGTCTACCTGAAGTATATGTTATCTTCTTATTTAATAGGTTTATAAAAAATTAACATAAAATCCCATTAGATTAGTTTATAGTTTACTTCCCTTTTAATCATCCTTAGCTACAATAACCGCCGTACATATTCTTGGCATTCTACTTAACAACTTTTCTAATTTTCGATGATTTCGATGCATAAGATGTAGAAAAAACTAAGTTTTTCCCGCATCTTATGCATCATTAAAATTTGTTTTTTCCATTACTTCCCAAAAAAATCCGATAGAAGAGAGATCTTGTGGCTGGGGAGGCTAAAGCATTCTGTTCAATATTAAATCGTTCTCGAACTCAGTCAAATAACTTATACAATTTTTTTTGTAAAATATGTTTTGAATTTAAACTTTAAGTAATTCTCTTCTGAAAAAATAAATGGCTTCCCATTAAACCATTTTTCCGAAGGTGTGGCATGATTTTTTAAGTGTACGAGTTAACTACTTTTTTTATTACTTCCTCTGTTTTTACAAAGTCACCTGTGGCATTCCAACCAAAGCAGCCCCACACCTTAAAACTACATTCTGCATGTTTTACAGTCTACTACATACTATTTACACACTATTTTATCATACATTCAACAATTTTTTTTCTAGACAAAAGTCTTATCTTAAAAAAAAGATTTAAAACTTCGACACGTCGGTCCACGTTTACTATCATTGATGGTCCATTTTTATGCAGTTTTGCGTACTTTTGCATTTCTATTATTGTCACGATTTTTATCAAAGCATTTTAATTAAAATTCTTTTAAATTATCTAACATTTAAAAAATAAACATAAAAAGTAGTTAAATAAAAATTAGCATTTTAAAAAAGATAAATGCGATTCGAATAATTATGAACGGTAATGTATATATTATATCCCAAAAAAAAAAAAGACTTTTTTCAAATCCCTATACATACTACCTAAATGTGTTTTGTATATTAAAACAATACTGAATTTAAAATATTTTTAAATAAAAAATATTTTTAGTGGTCCTCCAAGACCTTTGAGTATTTAACAAGTCCCTAATATTATAAAGCATAACTATATGAAAACTTGAAAAATGATAATTATAATATAAAAAACATAAAAAAAAAATTTTCTCAAAAAAAAACGGTAAAAATGTATTTTTTCATTTTTAGTTAATAAATGTCATTTTTTATCCATTAAAATCAAATATACTAATTTTTATATAATATAATTATTATTTTTGAAACTTTCATATAATTTTTATAATAAATATTTAAAAAAAATATTTTTTGATAATAGTAAGGAAAATTTTAAATTTATTGTTATTATGATAAATAGATCACATTTAGGTGGTAATATATAGGCATGAGTTAAATTGAAACCTTTTAATTTACTTTATTTACAAACTTTTTGAAAAAAAAATTGTTAAATGCTAAAAACTAATAATCTATTTCTAAAACACGTTTTAATTTAAAAACGTTATAAAACGATAAAACACGTTTTATTTTAAAAGCATATTAAATTGTTATTGTAAAAAGCTGTATAAAAAAGCAATAAAGCAATACTCTGAGGTTGTTTTATGGCTATTTTTTACAGTTTATAACATTAAAATATAAAACGCGTTTAATATAAAACATGTTTTATCATCAGTATGAATGGAGTATAAATTAAATTGAATAAAACGATAAATACTAAAAACTATGCTTAATAAACCAGTTTAAATTCACATGTTTAATTCAATTTTAAATTTCTGTTTAGTTAATTTTCTTTATTTTTCAAGTTGTTTAAAGACCAAGACTCAAAAGACTAAATATTATTACATGACCATAGCTTAAAAAAGTAGGTCTTAAAAAATAATAACGCATTTTCTTTTTATCAGAAAAACAAACACTAAATAACCTACCTAAACACCTGTGCACACACCCCTATCAATAACCTACCTAAACACCTATGCATATACCCATATCAATAATCTACCTTCGCATACACCAATATCAATAAACTCATAGTTATACTTTATTATACATTTGTTAAAAAATGTTATAATAGATAAAAAATTATATTAGTAAAAAGATATTTTAGAGATTTTATTAAGTTTCATAC